ATATATATATATATATATATATATATATATATATATATATATATATATATATATATAAGAGAGATATGACTTTGAATAACAAAAGATTAATGCTATTTACAGTCGACTGCTACAGTCTTGATAATTGTAGTATATCCTGTATCCACAACAAATACAGTTTATTTTTCAGACAAAGTGTTACCGATCACAATAACACGACAACAACAAGAAGAGGAACGGATATCCGATAATCTTAACGTTATTGTGTGTATCTGCTCCAAAATTGATGTTACAATATTTTTTTTGTAAAATATAAGTAATATGCAGTGTGGCCGAAGTGATAACGAAAGTGCATACGTATTACCATTGTGTTCTAATTGTGTAATGAGAACAAGAGACTTATAAGGAAACAACGGACTTTCTTTAATTGTTAACACACGAGTTTTGTCTGTACTTGAAATTCCTGTCCTTACAACATTTCATCAACAAACTTACAGACAAAAGTATCATGTTCTCTATTAAGTAAACAATGCAGAGATTATAACGATACAAAAATTAGAATTTTCATCGATTTCATAATGTTATCGCGAAATATAACGTTATTACGAAATGTTTTCAGATCAATATAAATAGTTCCAAAATTTTGTAATATTTCCAAAACATATCTCGTTCGAGAAATTTGACACGTTGCCTACCTATTATTACAATACTGTACAATTCATGTCATTAATGCTGAAAAAGTTTTCATATAACGTGATATTGTTTATTATGTGAAATGTGCTTCTCTCTCTATTCTTCAGATTTATTTAAAATTACCTGTACATACTTGTTGTAGTACTTTGGTAGGCTTTCCTCCTCCAACAATACATATTTACAGAGTTATAAATATGCAGATAGTTATATATGTTGTAATCATAACACATAACATTGCATAGCTTATAAAGGCAACAGGAAACAAGTCGTAACATGCTATGAGCGTATTAGTATCCCCTCTAAAATGAAACGTTCTCACGGCGGCATTCGCAGCTCACTCGACCCTTGGTCTATTCAATTACAGCTATTGGACAAATTTCAAGGTCTGGGCCAAGATAGTCTGTACACAGACGGGTTTTTTTCCGGTCCATCTAGTGTGAGACACAACACGATATAACTGGCTGTTTCTTTTTATAATGTTTTTCGTAAAGCTGGACTATACCCGGCCAAGAAACATTGTGTGTGTGGAGATAGTATTTTCCAAATTTTTACTAGACACAAAACTGCCCATAGCATTTACTATTTATTACTTAACTTTTGATCAGTAACTAGCCAAAAAATATTGGCTAGTATTGTCTTAATTTCTGTATAGTTACTGTCTGATAAACTGGCCAATTGCTAGTTAATGAACATAAATTGTTTGCAAACGATTGATTAAAAAATATCACTTTACTGTAAAAAAGAATATATATATATATATATATATATTATATATATATATTAATATATATATATTATATATATATATTAATATATATATATATATATATATATTATATATATATATTATATATATATTATATATATATATATTATATATATATATATATATCCGTTTTTTTTTAATAAAAATTATCATCATAAGAATACAAGTAAAGAAAGTTTTTTAACTTGGAATATGCAATCGACATTTACGAGTTTCGCAATTCACTTATTGGTTAGATTAGATTAATACTGTGCAATTATAAACAGAATCGTAAGTCTCGTAAAACTAGTTCTCGTAAAATTCGTAAGAATTTATGAGTAGATTTATAATTATATGCAATATCATATATCGTACAATCACTTGTAAATATCGTAAATTATATGAAATCGTAGATATTTACGAGTAATTGTACAACATATAATATTACATAGAATTGTAAATCTACTCATAAGTTCTTACGTATTTTACGAGAATAACCCATATAGCACAAATCTCTAAAAGACTTCTTAAAGAGTTCCAAAAGAGTTCCCAGAACACTTTTAGAATTCTTTAAAAAGTCTTTTAGAGATTTGTGCTATATGGGAAGTTACAAGACTTACGATTCTGTTTAGAATTGCAGCATAAGTTTGATGCATATACATATACTAGTACATATATACATACATATACTAGTTAATATATTCATACATATATACATATATATATACATACATATACATATATACATAATATATATGCATATACATATACATAACGTATACATCAGACAAAAAATTCGATGACGTATGCTTTAATCTCTTTTTACAAAACTGAACGTGTCCAAATATTTGACTTAAATTTAGATATGGTGGGCTTTGAACGGAATATATTTTATACATAACGGAATATATTTTATACATAAAGAAATCTTGAAAACGTGCGATTTGCAAAATTTACATAATTTTCATTATGTAAGATATTCCACTCTCGATATTGTTCCGTCAAAAATGATAAAAGGCAGGAAGCAATTAGAGATAACGGCCAATTATAAATATTCTGAACGCAATCGAGTTTCCCAGATATATCTACTGCTGCAACATGTTATTCTTAAAAAATATTACTGACGATACAATCTTTTAAAAGACATTCAATTTGCTAGTTTAGACATCTTTATTTTAAACCTCTTTTATAAGCTTGTGCTGTTTAATTAAGTATACTTTTGAGACACATAGCGAATTCTCGAAACTCGTTACATTTTATCGCTACTTGCACACATCATTATCGGTTCACTGCTATTTTTATAAATAACAAGTAGTTGACGCCAACCGAGTTGAACTCTGAAGAATTCTTTTTGCATCAGAAAATAAATCCAAAATTGGTGACATACAACTGAATTTTTTTTAATCCTTTTTTAATTCTCTGTGCTATCTGGGAAATGAACTGCTGACCTCCTGCAGATCCACTTCTCGAAATATGCAATATCTATAGAAATAATAATTTACATCATTTATCGATTAAGGTCTCACTTGTTCTTACAAATGTTGTGTTCCAATAGTTTCAGTGTCAGTATTGAAAATCTATATAATTCATGTCACGTATTCTATAGATTTTCAGTACTGGTGGTGAAGATCGGAAGATACGAAATGTTAGTCACAAATCTAACCTAACTTAATAAATATCCGACTATTCAACAATTTCAACACGTGTTGATCGCTCTTTTTGGTGGCTTCATCAGACAATATAAGCATGAATAAATCTTTGTTCCTCTACAGTCGCAACAAGGGCCCAATTCATCGCTCTAAATGTTCTGAACGATCGCAGTAACTTTCCACGACACGAAATTGCTTTAGACGAACTCTGCTACCGTTTAGTCATTGCAGTCATTGTTGTCGATCGTTACGTTGTCAGCGTTACGTTGTTTAAATATAGCGATACATTGTACAATTGTGGGACTGCTGTTATGCAAGTATAATGCAAGGCCATGAATGTTACACGTGTACATTTTTTGTCGTAACAATATCACGTTTATATCGCGCATTGAAAGAATGGAGAGAAAAGGACGAATTAAATTTTTATATGTCAAAGCACAAGTTAAACTATAACTTTACTTTTTAGAAAACTAATTGATACTGTAAAACATACTCGAACCTAACAACCTAGCCTAACAGAGCCGCAATGGTCCTATAGACAGAACGCGATAGCCAATCAAGTTTTCGCTCCTACGGAAAAACAGCAAGTTGATTGGTGTTGCAAACATTGTTGTATTCCCTGTCCACAGGAGCCAAAACATATCGCGTTCTCTTAAAGTTTCTATTAACTTATATGCGCTCCATATATCGACATGAATTTAACGCTGATGTATCATTCTATATTCTTGTTGTTGTACAGTCGGGGACTGAAAGATTGTCTGTAACTTTTGATGAATTTGTGAACTGCCTATCTTGTCCAATGAGAGAATTTATTTTCCAATGGGAGAATGCTCTCGTTGGACAAGAAGGATGAGTTGACAAACTCACTAAAAAATTACGGATAAGCTTTTAGTCCTCGACTGTATATCTATAAAGCGATAAAAATAGAATAGCGCGTAAGTATTGATAGCGCTTTCTCCGAACGCACACGTTCGCTCGTCTTCTTGAAATAGTTGTGTATCGGTCGGTTTCATAAATTGTAAGCAAATTGACCAGCCACAGTCGATTATTTTCAAAAATAATCAACTGTGATTGGTCCACTTACTTATGCGGCTTATGACTATAGGTCTGTTCTTTTACTCTGCACTGCTGCACTAGTGCAGCAGTGCAGAGCAAAAGAACAGACCATGTGGCTTATTGTAAAAGGCCCATAACCTAGATAACATGCATGTCTAAAAAATGTCGAAAAGACGTCGTATGTAACATTTTGTGTAATCTTTTAGACATGCATGTTATCTAGGTTATGGACCTTTGTTTATGGGCCCTAAAAAGCTCATAAACAAGTTTTTTTTAATTGTTTAGGGCCACAAAAAGGCCTTAAACAAATGTTGCATAAGACGTCTTTTACATATCTTTTCAACATCTTTTAAACATGCATGTTATCTGTAAGATTGCATTCGAATAGCCCATCCGAGTGTACTATAATACTAGAAGTACCATATGTTACATCTTCAAGGATACAAACCCAGCGGCTTTATTATCAAAAAATATCAAGTACGATATTTTTATGAAAAGCTGTTGTTCACATTGTGTATACTAAACTTCTCATTGAAATATCGTACGTGATATTATTCGAGAATAAAGCCGCTGTGCCGTAATTCTGTAACTCGTTATGCAGTCATTATGTGCTAATAACAACAGTTGCGCAGTTTTTCTGCCATATGTTATATTCACCGACAACGTAACGATGTTATTGTTAAAAGTTACAGAATATTTATTTTGTAAAAAAAATGGAACACTACAGTAAATATTTATGTTTACATATAACCTCGAAACGCGTAATAATACCTTGGTTAAAATCGCACCGCGCGATTGCGTGTGATATGAAAATTTTTTCGGTTTACATGCATCGTATATTATATACATGCTAATTTTGATTAACTTAAATGGTTGCGACAGATATTTTCTCTCAGGTCTAAAGCTTACAGCACGCGTCTGTGTAGGTACCTTATGCTCGGTCCAAATATTCCTATATCCATAAGTGGGGATAGCTATAAGAAGTGAATCACGACAGATAAAACCGGCATTCAGTTGAGCGAGTTGATCGTGAGTCTACAGGCGATTGATACGTAGTAAACGTATAGCAAAATAAGCTAGTGTATTTAATGTCACATCTAACAACACCGATGTTAAAGTTTCATAACGGCAACCAAGTACCGGCCTTTGGTCTGGGTACATGGAAGGCAAGTCTTTTTTTCGCATTTCGTTGAATTGTGCAATCCACGAACGGTCGGTTTCTAATTCTACGTTCTAAGTCTAATTCTAAGTAGCAACTTGTGTCAAATGGAAATAACTAAGATAAGAAATAACTAAGATTACACATTTCGAGTGTTGTTTTGATTTTGAGATATGTGTTATGAAAGATGAAATTCTTTCCAAGTTACTTGTGCTTAAAACCATGTGAGAGTCACATGTAATTGCACTTTAAAGTGTCGTAGTGTTTTACATTGAAATATATTCACAATTATTGCGTGATTCTCTTTATACTATCATTTCGAACATATAATTTTTCCCTGTTTACAATTTTTGTTTAAGTACTTTTTGATCTTTTCTACTATACTATACAGTACTATACTATACTGTTGTCTACAATTTAGCCCAATTTTACAGATTTTTTATAATATATTAATTTATAATATATTTATAATATATTAATTTATAATATATTAATTTATAATATATTGCTAAACAGTCTTTATGAAACCTTTTGCTTTTCTAAATTGATGAATCTATTATACTATATACTAAGAGTATTCTGCAAAAATTAGCAAAAGTCCCTATGCAAAGTATAAGATTGCCCAAATCTTGCATAAAATTCATTATTAATTTTTGTAGAATCATCAATTTTAACATATGATAGACACATCAATATAGGAAGGTGAAAGATTTTTGTGACAAAATAAGAAGAAATTAATTTAAAAAATGCTAAATTTGTATTGTGTTGAATTCATTCATTGTATTAATATTCATAGATAATGAAGCATAACAAAAGATAAAACTATAATATCTAAGTGTTTTGAATTTTTGAAATTACATGCTACCCACGCATAGTTTGATGTTCAGATAACTCAGATTTTCACTCTTTATAGTATATTTTAAAATTGAAGGAATCTTAGAAGTGTAATATTTTCTATATAATTACTGCAATTAAAAATACATGATTTTCAATTCTTATGTTGCAATTACAAAACTAAGATTCATATCAATAGTCGTTACGTTTGTCTCAAGTGAGATATTCAGATTTAAATTAGAGACAGATGTGAGTTTTTAGCTGATAATTACGATTACAAATGTAATGTTATTAATGTAATGTAATGATTAGCTCAAATAAAAAAAAAAAGAAAAATCTAAATTCAGATTAATATGGGCTTAAGAGGTTCGCATTTTTCATATTTTTCATAACATTATTTCCGTAATTAACATAAATTGCGAATAATTTAGACCCGTCAAGTGTTATCGTAAAGTCCTCGCGCGAAATGTAGTTTCAATAAAATATAGATTACTTTAGCATGTATAAATAACGACTGATAACTGACGATAACAGGCAACGATAATAAACAATGACTAAGCTTCGTCGATTTTATCTACAAGACTATAGTGCAAAGTAACCGTGAATAAGAGAAAATAATTTTACAAGCGATCACTCGCGTACTTTAATTATATTTATTGTATGATGCAACTATATGATAGTTTGAATATTTTTAGGTTATTTTTTTCAGGAAAGAATATATTTAAAAAATTTACAACCATCTCTACACATCGAAAACTACACCATTATTCACTGATTTGATTCCACTTGATTTGATTTCAGTCTAAACCGGGTGAAGTCACGCAGGCAGTCCAAGATGCTATTGACATCGGCTACAGACACATTGATTGCGCTTACATTTATGGCAACGAGAAGGAAATTGGAGCCGCTATACAAGCAAAAATCAAGGAGAATGTCGTAAAGAGAGAAGAGCTATTTATAACTAGCAAGCTATGGAACACTTTCCACAGACCTGATCTGGTGGAACCAACCATCAAGCGTACGCTAGCTGATCTTGGCCTTGACTATGTAGATCTCTACTTGATACACTGGCCAGTTGGTTTCAAAGAGGGTGACAATCTTTTCCCTAAAAATGCTGACGGAACCACCACTTTGAGTGATGTAGATTACGTCGACACTTGGAAGGCTATGGAAGCTGTACTATCCAAGGGTTTGGCGAAAAACATCGGAATCAGTAATTTTAATTCCGAGCAAATTACCAGACTGCTCGAGAATGCGACGGTTAAACCTGTTACGAATCAGGTAAATTAAAAGTATGGCAGTGATCGAAAAGAAATGCAATTTAATTTGCCGGGCATATGCATTTACTACCAAAGATCATTTGATAAAATCGCGTTGATGTTGCATTAATTTACAACTTTTGCTGTTATTCGACGTACTTTTACCAAAGAAAATAAGAAAAAGAGAGTTATCATTCTTGTATTACTCCAGATCGAATGTCATCCTTATCTATCGCAAAAGGAGCTGTCAAACTTTTGTAAGGAGAAGGGCATTCTTGTCACGGCCTACAGTCCACTTGGATCGCCAGATAGACCATGGGCTAAACCAGACGATCCGAAACTGTTGGAAGACAAAACATTATCTCAAATCGCCACAAAGTACAGCAAAACACCTGCACAGATACTCATACGTTATCAGGTATCATATTAATATATTATTATATATGTATTATATATGTATTATCATATGTGTATTAATTAAATCAAACACCTGAAACAAATATTTGCATCTAATATTTACAGTGTATTGTATGTCATTAGCAATCCAATATGAATATAGTGAGTTAATATCAGGTTCTAATAATTATTTTTAGTTGGAACGTGGTCACATAGTGATACCAAAATCAGTTACGAGATCTCGAATTCTTGAGAACAGCAAAGTATTCGACTTTGAATTAAAACCCGAAGATATCGCATATATTGATACTTTCAATTGCAATGGAAGAATTTGCCCTCTAACTGGGTAAGTCAACTGATTATTATTACTAACTATAAAGATGAGATTTCCTATCGATCAAAAGGAGAGAATTTTTTTATAATCATAATGCATTGTGATATGCTAATAATTTTGTTTTCATTTTCAGGTCAGAAGCCAGTCCTTATTACCCTTTCAACATACCGTTTTAAGTGATTGATATAATATGTACGCACCTACCTACCTATTATCATATGTATCTATGATTAAACATTACACGTTTGCAAGCTTATACGTTTGTTTTTATAAGATGTTTGCAAAATTAACATTATTGTGAATATAAGTGAATTAGAAACTATAAAATTAAAAACGACAATCTTTTTTTTTCTTTTTTTCTAAGCAAAAAATCAATTATTTGTATACACTGTGCGCTGGAACAAAGATATATAAAATATTGTGGACCAAACATTGAAGTATTATGTTGTTCCGTTGATTCCTTGCTGCCTTTTATAGGTACAAAGTCTGAAAAATTCCTCGCTGATATCACCATTTAACCATCTCGAACGCCTTCGAAGCCATCCATACATAAATTATAGATTTCAACGATGAGACATCAATACATAATGGTGCAGTCGATTATCTGCACGTGCACTTTCCTTCGCATGTACATTAATTGTAGCTATCGATTTGTTCGCAAGGAGCACAAATCTCACACGCGTTGTCAATTTTATCGTGTTCGCACAGCACAGGAAAATGTATCGAATTTTTGAGAGAACGCAATACATCTGAAAGTTTATGCTCATATATTTGAACGTTAACTTGTATAGTGGTATTACGATTTGTTAGGCTAATATTACATGTATCGTACGACAAGCTTGTCGAACATTTTAATTGGATAGAGAATATTTGGTACATGAAGAAAAAGTTGAGAACATTGGGAGAATTTTATCCATCAACCAATCGACATGTCTCACAATATATGTCATACGACGCATGTAATATTATGGGCCGTCTACAATAGCCATTAGTCATAAGGTATAAGCAAATTAATTACACAGTCGATTATTTTTTAAATTAAATTTTTAAAAATTGTTGGTCAACTTGTCTACGGCTTATGATTAATGGCTTATTGTAAAAGGCCTATTAGAGTCTTCACAAATTGACATAACAGTAATATAAAATATACCGTAAGAATTTTTTTGAATCACGTTAAATATCATCGAATTATAAAGTTATCATTTTTGTGAATACTCGATTGGTCAATTCTTCTGGTACGTTTTACATTACTGTTATGTCAATTTGTGTGTGAAGGTTCTTAGCTTAAGGGTGAAATCAGAAGGTGCGTAATAGAACTACGGAATAGAGAGCGCATCATAGAAGCAATCAATCGGCGCTATTCCGCAAAACTTGCGTGATATAATAAAGCGAAATAGCGTTGATTAGTTGCTTCTATGACACATTCTCTATTACGCAGTTCTATTACGCACCGTCTGATTTCACCTTTAGATCTACACGTATTATTTTCTTTAGCAATCAGTGATAATTATAATATTTTATAATAAATGTTTCTGTAAATTCATATATTATATAATCGTTAAATGCAAAAAAATGTTTCCATTTTTACAAGTTTTTGTTATATACGCGGAGTGTAAAATTTTACGAAATCGTAAAGAACCCAGATAACATGCATGTCTTTCAGATATCGAAAAGATATCTGAAAGACATCTTATGCAACATTTTGTTGCATAAGATGTCTTTTAAATATCTTTTCAACATCTTTTAACATGCATGTTATCTGGGAAGAAGCATTAACGAGCACATACCTGTCTTTGAGATGATATCAGATTCGCGATAAGTATCTATCGTATAGAAAGGTCCGGCCTTCGATGTAGCAGAAACAACCGGTTGGCAAGATGCTCGATTATCGCGAGGTTTGCATTTTGTGGTTGAACACGGTGCACAATTGTCCAACGGGATGTAACGTGAAAGTGGCGGGCAGAAATTTTTATACAAATTCAACAAGCGATATGTTTGAAACGATTTCGTTGGGCACGTACAACGAGCTTTCTAAGTCAGAAAGAGCGTATAAGATTCGTTGCGGAAACAAACGTTACGTCATAGCTATGGTTTTTCCTTTTACTTACTTGTCCAACATCTTTACAAGTATAGATTTCCTTTATCGCGTCTACGTTGCGTTCGGAGACCTTTCTATCGTTTCCCATCGAATCCTGTACACATCCCATTACTTTCTCGTCATTGCCCTGAAATTTCTCACAAGGTAAAAATTTTTTCATTTGTCGTCTATACGTATCTTCTTTGTCCTCCAGTTCCTTGATGCAACTCTTCAAATCGAGTTCCTCTTCGGCAAACTGACGAATCTTTTTCAGACATATCAGGTCTTCGGAATGGATGGAATGTAGGCTCGGTGTATTGTATTTTTCTGCTTGATTACGCAAGCCTATCAGCTTCTCTTCCATCTCTTTGTTAGCCAGTTCCACAGACTCCAATTCCATGGTAGTTTCTTCCAACTTCACATCCGTATCTATAATCTTATCCTGCCGATGAAAAACGCTCACATTTAAGGAGTAATTCTCAAGGAATCGTGGGACAAATTCTTGAGAAAATCCGATGATGATCGAAAACGCTGTTGCGCCAAAAAGATACGCTGACAAAATTTACCAGGATTTATCGTCTCAATCGTGCCGTACATGCAACTTTACTGTTTCCAGACGGAGATCGTTGACATTGCCTTTTAATTCGACAAGAAGTTGAGCGACAAGATCCGGCTGTGGTAAAAACTTATTCATGATCTGTCGCATTGTACCGTCGCGGCAGTCTGGACCGTCGATGGCTATTCTCCACATATTGCACGTCATCAGAGCTGGAATGGAGCGTTCCATCGTAGCAATTTTGTCTCGAAGCTGCCCGTGGCGATCGATGAGGTCGCATCGACGTTCCTCAATTTCCGACACGACATTTGCCAGTGGCGAACCCGGGTCTTTTGCATGAAAGAGACAGCAATTTTATGTAATATAAAATGTTTCGTTTCTTCTCTGTCGTATAATCTATATGTTGCACGAGACTGTGCGCTAAAATGCGCACGAGTCGACCGCTAGTTGATTAGGTTACTCACTAATTTTATTTGACATTTTGACGAATCCACTCAATATCCACGTTGTTACGTGCCAGTTGTGCCCATAGATAAAATTAAAATGATAAAATTGTATTGCGTGAGATTCACGCGTTTACTTGAAACTTTTTTGAATTTTGAGCACGAAAGAGCAGAAAAATGGTATGTTGTTTGTATGTATCGAGCGCGACTTGGACAGTTTTAAAAGTAGATTCACAGTTCATAGCCATCGAATCTGTTTGCACATCCGAATCATCGAAATATAATCGAGATCTAAGGTTTGTTCTGTTTAGCTGAGCTGCCTGAACTGGTGCAATAAATTTGAGTAAAATAAAATATATTTGTCTCACTCTAACTTATTGCACCGTGTCAGATAGTTCAGCTAGAAAGAACAGACCTCTAATTTATGAAACAAAAGAAACGTGGCATACGCACGTATATTCTCCATCTGACATTTTTACCTATCGGTTGCAAGTAATCACGCAGACCCGGTAACGATTCAGAATCTAAGATGACATAAGCGTTTATCGATCGATTAATCGACACGCAAATCGGAGACAGCGGCAGGAAGGATTAGAGCGGAACTCGCGTGGAAATCTGGAGCACGTCCGAGCTGACCAGGATGTCGTCGCCATTCGACTCGACCGCTAGTAAAACGATAATATAGAAAGATACAGATGAAAAATTTCAGACTCGATTACGCGACTCGATTACGCGACTCTGCGATTACAGATAAACAGGGATTTACGCGCGACTGGCTCAGATAGCGCCGTTTTAGAACAATTTTTCGGCATTTACACAGCAAATTGGACGAGTCGACATCGAGTTGCCGGGACGGAAACGGCGACAACGACGACGACGACAAGTTTTCTTTGGTGACAGTGACGAGTGCTTCTCTTCAGGAGAGCACCGGCAGCACATTCACCGGATCCGTTTGCACCGATTGGCAAGACAAATTTGCGTGTCGTGCGTTACACAGGCGAGGCCGTATCTTCAGTTACCGGAAGAGAAAGACACGTCTCGCCGATGGAGTCTTCAGCGCACCCGCTGGTGTCTGTCCGCATCGCGTCACCTCGTCGATCAGCCGTCGCAATGTAGGTGCGTTAAGCACCTTCAAGTAACTTCGTTCTCTCTTAAAGTAAATCAGTGAATAGTCACTGATATCATTTATAAGTATAGCACTGAGCAGTTTCAGTGCTATACTTATAGCTGCAAATCAGCGTATATTTGCTTCAATAATGTTTCACTTTAAGAGAGTTCGATCGTCGTTCGGACGTCTCACTTGCAACTTTCCACGATCTCTCGACAAATCTCCTGCAGTCGCGCAATGTACATGCACCAATTGATACTGCCGATATCCGAGCCAATTTTATACTAACTGCTGCTAACATTTTACTTATTGAGATTTCCGGGTCTTTCTTGTGCGATAACATTCAGCGATAACGGGCAAGCTTATTTGTATTTTTGGTTAAACAAATCCACCGATTTTATCTACAATTTTCATTGTTTTTATTTTTTCTACATGTACGATACAGTACTGATAAGACAATTGCGGCGAAAAATCGCCGTAATATTTAGTGTCGCGATTTACTAATCAGGTAGAGTGAAAAGCCGGCCGGTTTCTCGTGTAAGAGACAGAGAATTGTACTGACGCTATCTGTTTTACAGGTGATTCCCGGCTCGTGTTCATTTGGCCGCAAAAAGCTAACAGAGCTCGGCTCTCGAGTGTTTTCGCGCCTTTGCTTCGCGGCATTCTGGTCGGATTGTTGTTCGTGGATGCACTTCACCTGTGGCCCGGAGAATTTTTACCCACGTCTCTACCCTCGATCTTGCCGATTACCTTACCGCCAGTCAAATGCAACATCATCGAGCCACGCTGGTTCGATAATAAATGACTGCAAATCGCGTCTGACAGAACCGTGCGTTCCCACATAACACAGAGAATTCAAAAAGAATTTACTCGTATGTCACCAATTCTGAGTTCATTTTTAGACGCAAAAAGAATTCTTTTCACTGAACTGAATTCTGAAGAATTATTTTTGCACCTAAAAATTAATTGGTGACATATGACTGAATTCTTTTTTAATTCTTTTTAAATTCTCTGTGCTATCTGCGTTGTCACACTTTTATTCTCGTAGACCATAATTTTAGTCCACATCAAGCGTACGCGGAATTTTCTCCCGATAAAAATTCTCATCAATCTGACGCGCACAGTAATATGATGCAAGGTAAATTAACAATCATCTTTCTCGCCAAGAATCGACATTGGAAGATTTTTCCTGCAATATCCGTGATCGGTGCATAAACGAGATGTCGGCTCGCAAGAATAAAGCATTTAAGTTATTATCGAGACCGGTTTCAGCAAATTGTTTTGTTAGGAAACAACATTTATAATCGTTATGTATGCCAGTAATAATACCAACAATAAATTCTCGAGTAAAATGATCACAGCGGCAAAATCGTGTACATTATTCTACGACTTGTAAGAACAGAAACTCGTATTCGATGAAGCAAATGTTTATTATACCTTATCGTATGCATCCTTACGTGTGTATGCGTTATCGCTCACACAAAATGTAAATCGCAGACGGTTGCGTTATAATTGAGTACTCTGCCATAATAAAAGTTCTCCTAAGAAGTTCTTCGAGGAGCATAGTGCATTGTTAAACATCGCGAGATCGACGCAAGCTGCATCAGTGTATATTGTTGCTTGCAGTTCAAAGGTAGAACATTATACTGAACAGAAAGAGATTCGCTTGTTACGGTCGTGATCTAGCAGTTTCTCTCGTTATTTTCTAGCGAATGAGTGTGTACTGAGAGAATTGTGGAATGACAAACGATTTCTTACCGTCAGTCTTTTATCACGTCAGTCTTTTATCATATATATGCAGTTGATAACAGCGAAACGTCTTAACAAATAAACACCTTCAGGAATAAAGTTCATCATAATATCTGAAGGAAGGTGAAGTGTCTCGGTAATATACTTGAATATCTGCTTGTGCTACGACTATCATAAGAGTTGACGCTTTCAACACACGTTGAGTATTGTAAGTACTTGTTTGTTTGTTTGCTTGTTATAAAATACAAATTGAATCGTGCCGCGCCGATTGCTAAAACACATATATTTAGACAAAGATGGACAGCGAATTTTTGTCTGTCTTTATCTCAATACTAATGAACTGACAAACACGAACCAACGGCGATGTACTATCGTTTATAAAATCTCCTCTCACCCGTTCCTCCTTTTCGAGCAATGCATAAGCCGGACATTGTGAGACTGGGACGAGAGTTGTAAAAATATCAATTAAATTTTTCTCAATTTAATGATTTATTTGAGTATGTTTCAATTCTTTTGAATCAATTGGAAAATATTTCATTGACGATTAATTACAATCAAGTCAATTAAGAGCCGTTCAATTGACGATTGAACGAAGGAAATCAAAGTTCCTTCAATTATCAATTCAACTTATCTACTAATTGCAGACTATTTATTTAACAATTTATTTCAATTACTTCTATCAAAGACCAATAATAATTGATTTTAACTTGTTCAATTAAAGATCACTCAATTGATGATTCATATGAACAAAGGGAATAAAAAATCGTTTAATAAATAATTGAATTTAGTAAATTTAATTAAACGCCCTTTAATTGACGATTGAGCTTAGCAAAAAAACAATGCTGTAAAAAGGCCAAAATTTTCCTGTAAGGGAATTGTATGAAATTGCAGTATTTTTATATTTTTGGACCTGTTTAACTCAAATGTGAAGCTTAAAATTGTCCAAATCCCAGGAAACTTTATGAAAATACAGTTTTTCTATAGAAAAACCTCGTTTTTCAGCAAATACTTTTTGACAATTGTGAACATGGCTTTTAATTTAATTTGCTGGATTTTGGCTGCATTCCGAAATGTACTGCCAGTACTGAAAATCTATAGTTCATGTTACGTATATTATAGAATTTCAGTAGTGGCAGTGAATTTCGGAACGCAGTCTTTATTGTTAAACGATCTTTGATCTCCTTCGTTTATATCAATCGTCAATTAAAAATTCTTAAATTGATTTTGTTTGAATCAATCAGGAATTACTTGAATTAAAACGTATTCGTACAAATTAATTATTAAGGTGAGAAAAATTTAATTAATATTTTTACAATTCTGGTGCTGATCTCGAAATGTTTTTCTGCCCGGTAAAATAACATGTTGACAAGCATTACGTGACATTTCTAAATAAAATTAAATAAAAATAAAAGGGCACTTGAGATTGTTTCACCACACTTGTAAAATTATATCCTTTTCTCCTGACGATTAATAATTAGTCGTATAACAAATGATGAAAATGATGAATAAGGCATGTTTACCCAATGAAAAATTTTTTATATATAATTATATAAAATTATATAAAATTATATATAATTATATATTATTATGTATCAAATTTGTCCATTCATGTTCATATATTCTACTTATATATATAATTATATATAATTATATATAATTATGTATAATTATATATATAATTTTATATAATTACGCATAAATTTATATATAATTATACATATTGTTATACATAATTATATATATATGTATAATTATATATAATTTTATATGATTATATATAATTATACATAATTATGTATGGACAAATTTCATACAAAATTTTGCATGACAAATTTTTCATCGGGTATGCACGAGAACACGCGACTAAATAGCTGATGACAGAAGTAGAAAATCACCTTGCACATATAATATACCGGGCTGAACTTAGCTTTCGGATAATTCTACAGGTTTCACAAGTGCGTCACATGCATCATACGTCACGTGCATAACATGTATCGCTCGAAAGGGAAGAACGGGTGAGAGAAGATATTTCGTAAGTGATATCTTTGCTGACTCATGCTACGATTGCTTGTCGGTAAGATAAAGATAAACAGAGATTCTCTGTTCATCTAATTCATATTACTTATGGGCACAGCACGGAAAAGAACCTAACAACATTTATCGACAAAACGCTGAACTAAAAGGCATGAAAAAGTGACGTGTAGTGACGTGCTGACAGCGAACTTTTACATTACATGCAGTTTTACATTTCGTTAATATTCGGTAAGCTATGACATGTGATGCACTTGTGAAACCCGTAGAATTATCCGAAAGCTCAGCCCGGTATATTATATATGGAAGGTGATTTTCTACTTCTGTCATCAGCTGTTTAGTCGCGTGTTCTCGTGCATAAACATGTCTTATTCATCATTTTCATCATTTGTTATACGACTAATTATTGATCGTCAGGAGAAAAGGATATAATTTTACAAATGTGGTGAAACAATCTCAGGTCTCCTTTTATTTTTATTTAATTTTATTTAGAAATGCCATGTAATGCAACGTGTTATTTCTCGCTTATCACGTTATAAGTCCAACATGGCCGCGATAAGATACGAGGAGTTTTAAATGTTAAAATATTAAAAAAAGCAATGCGTATTTTATTTTCGATCGGATAAATCATACACAAGGGACACGTATAATAAACGTATTAAATTAGTATCTCTATTATAACATATAAGATACGTCTTTTATATTACTAATACAGTTAAGTTCCCAGATAGAATTAAAAAAGAATTTTTAAAAAATTTAACCGTATGTCACCATTTATGAGTTTATTTTCAGATACAAAAAGAATTCTTCAGAGTTTAGTTCAATAAAAGGAATTTTTTTGCATCTAAAAATGAACTCAGAATTGGTAACATACGATTGAATTCTTTTTGAATTCTCTGTGCTACCTGGGTTTACACAAGTAATAGCGTACTGAATCGTACTTTTAAAACTATGTAATCACGGTACAATAATTGTAGTTTCAACGTTCGCAGGGTTGCAATGGATATCGTCTTTTTGGTACTTGGCACTTTGTGTCTCATTGGAGTCTACATTATATCGTTAGTGCGTTATGATTATACTATGCGGCAAAAAGTGAAAAATATTCCTGGATTCAAGACATATCCTCTCATTGGCCATGCAATTAAGTTAATAAGGATGAACGATATAGGTAAAAAAGCATTGCAAATATATATAATATTGCCATTAATTGTATTATTTGAAATAATAAAGCTTCCTATTTTTACTATTTGTTCGTAGAGCGTTTAAAATGGTTTCTAACATTACCGAACGAATTCAAAGACGGAATATTTGTACAATTTATTGGGTCCAAGCCAATAGTTAACATTTACAAGCCTGAATTTTTAGAGGTAAGTAGAATTAAACGCTAACTTGAAATAATCGGTCACATTTTTTCTCTCCGATAACAAATATGATACGAATCTGTGCAGTCTGTATAGGTCTATTCTTTTTCGAGGAACTCTCTGGATCAGTGTACACTAGGGTACAATAAGTTAAAATGAAATAAAATATATTTATTTCACTCTAATTTATAGCATCCCAGTATACGCTAGTTCAGAAAATTCCTCGAAAAAGAACAAGCCAATTATCACAAAGCAAAATCTCATACGTGCGTTTATGCGCGTGTACGTCTAGTGATCGCGAACATTCTTGGACAAATTTACAAAGTTATTTTTGAAACTGTTGACGCAATGAATGAAAGTAAATTATCGCTGAATTTTCTCCTAGGAAAATTGTATACATTTTAAACGCAATAGCAAACGCCAGATATCGTCAAATATCGTTGCGTGTACAACTTGTTATTATATATATTGCATGAAAATATTTACAGGTAATTTTTCCCAGTACGATTAATATTGAGAAAGGTGTAGAGTATAAATTGTTGACACCTTGGTTGGGCTATGGTCTTCTCACTTCTACAGGTAAACGGAATAATAATATGCACGTATTCATTTTTAACGTTTCATGGAGCAGAAGCATGGAACATTTGTCTTATTGTACCTTTTTTACGTATGCCTAATATATAAATAAATATTAAAATAATACAAAAATAAATAAATAAATATTCGATATATAAATAAATAAATGGTAATTAATGCACGAAAAAAAGATTTGGTTGAATTAACTAAATATCTGGTCGAATATGAACTATCCAGAAATTCCGATTAATGTGACCCGAATTCTGTTTAAGTTAATAGGATTTTTGGTAGATTAACCAAACATGTCTGGTTATTTAACTAACGCTGTTTCAGGAGCACAATGGTTTCATGATAGAAGACTCATCGGACCAACGTTCCATTTTAGTATACTGGACCAATTTGCAATAATAATATCCGAAAAAGCAGATATCCTAATAAAGTGCCTCGAAAAAGAAATAGCAAAATGCCCGGAGAAAGCTATCGATATTTTTCCCTTTATTATCAATGCTGCTCTGGATATTATATGTGGTATAACATATTCATATAAAATATTTCGTAGTGTGTTCATACACACACACACACACACACACACGTACATACTGGATGTCCTAGTCTTGGCTTCTACATCTTGCCTTGGCGCGGTGCGGCAAGATGTAGAAACGCAACGATATAAGCACAGGCAGTGGTGCGTTGCTTTTCCAATTTCCGATCTCAATTATTATTGCGAATATCGCAAAACGATATATAGAACTTTTATGTTCATCTCAACCCGTCCTACGTCCCCACAAAATTTGCGGAGGAAAGTCTGAGACACTCTATATATATATATATACAGGGTGTTCAAAAAGTCCCGGACCGGTGAAATATCTCGAAAACTAAGCATTTTAGAAAAAAATGTTTCAGATAAAAGTTGTGGCGTTTAAAAAGATGTATTTACTGATCACATCAGTTTGAC